TGTCTCACTAGTGTAAGAACCTGAAAGAGTAAATAAAAACTTGGAGGTATGATAGACATTGTGAAATGAAAGGAAAATGCTCAAGGGTATAGGGAAAGTGGAATGTGGAAAAAGAAGGGAAAGAAGGGGAAGTTTTGTATGTATGTATATACAGGGTAGTTAACATAGTTGATCTACTGTCTTCTGTTTCTTTGCTGAAAGAAACAGCTAATGAGTCCTTGATTGATCAATATTGCAGGTCTCTTTGTTTTCATGAAAAACCACTTTGAAGGGGCTGGGGATTTAGCTCAGCGGCAAAGCGCCTGCCTGGCAAGTGCAAGGTCATGAGTTTGGTTCCCAGTACCGGAGGGGGGAAGAAAAAAAAAAAAAAAACCACTTTGAAGATATCAATATGTAATACAATAAGCATTGTTAATTTCCTACCACTTTGTTTGTAACACTGCATTGTTTGTATTGTTGTTTTGCTATTTTGTAAATGGTTGTCTGTCTGTTAATGTTTTCCTCCTTTTATTTGTAAAAGAAAAGAAAGAAAAAAGGAATTCATTAGCATTATTTTTTAAAAAAGAATGATTGTGTGACCCAAAGCTGGCCACTAAGATAGATACTATCCATAGATCTGAGAGAGTTTCTCACTCTTAAAAGGATCACGAAAGAAGCAGCCTTCTCTTCCTTCTCCAGATCTTGTTGTAGCTGGGTAATGATGTCTGAAGCTGCTGACGTTCTTTGGAACCCCAGGAGGCCAAATGGAGATCAGGTAAGGACCAGTTCCTTGGTGATAACCTTGAGGCCCTCCTTATGCCATGCATGGACCCGCCCATGGCCTCCCTGGTACATTAAGTAACAAGTTTCCTTGTGTTTCAATCCACTTGAAGCAGGTGTCTCTGTCACACTCTAATTGGCACAGTCTGCCTATTACTTTCTCACTACCAGTTTCAATGACTGTTGCTTTACATTATTTCGACAGGAGTGCTCTTGACTGGGGTGAGGAGATAATTCCTTAACTTCCTTGATTTCTTCCTTAAGCAACTTAAGTAGATGATTTCACAGTTTTAGTCATCTAAATTTCTTAAACAAATTTCACCTGAATGACTGTCAATTTCCTGAAGAACAAATATACTTTTATCTTTATATATATATATATATATATATATATATATATATATATATAAACTTCTATGTAAGTCTTATCCACTTTTCTTCTTTTTGTCATTTTTATTGTAGGAATTTTAGACTACATTTCCAGTAGCTGTCCCGTTTTGATTCTTTTCAAAGAAATCTTCCTGAGACTTATTATCTATTAATTTTTATGCTGCAGATTCATTTAGTTTTTGCTTTTTAAAATTTCATTTCCTTCTCCTTCCTTGAATGCTTATTCTTTTCCCCATTTTTAGGTAAAGTAATATCTTTTATTGCTTTTACTTAAGAAGATAAATTTCATACTCATGTTGAGAGCAACTTAATGCATATCCCCTAATTTTAAAAATTAAACATCCTGCTTCTCATTACTTTATAATTAGCTATTTTCATACTCTTGATTGCCTCCTTAATACAATAATTATTCAAAATACACATAAAATTTTAGAAATCTGCTATTATTAATGTCTAATGCTATACTTTCTTTGAAAATATGGATTGCATTGCTCATCTTTCTGACTTAGATTTTTAAAATTTTCCTTATGGCTATTTTGGATTAAAATACTTTTTAAATCCTGTTATCATTTAATAAGGAGGTGCATTTTGCAATGCAAATACAATATATAAACAAATGGTAATTTTATAAAAAAATTTTGAAACCATCATCAATTCTAATTTACTAAGCAGATGATTCCAATCATTTATGTCATTATTTTAGGATTTTTATGATGGCCAGTATGAAAATTTGAGGAAATTGTATCAGGGCATTCCAGGAGGTAAAACACATAATAGGGCATAACAGTAGCAGAGTGAATGCTCGAGAACATGGATTTGTTGTAGGAGAAATCTGTGGGTGGAAGGAGGCTGTTGTGATGGTAGAAGAACACAAAATCTTATGACTAATCTTTGTTGAACTATCCTGCTGGGAGCACAGAGCAGCTGCTCAATAACTGTCTCTTCCATAAAAAATGGCTTTCCCCTCCAAAATGCTGGGTTGAAATATGGGTGCAGCAAAGGCAGTGAAGCCAAAGGAGAGGCACAGTAGGTAAGATGCCTTTGGGAACATCTTGAATGGCTTCTGAGTTGCTGCTGTACATTATATGAGAGGGTATGAAAATTGCTTTATATCCCTGCGTATATAGAAATGTTTTACTTGAGTTCTTCAAACTCATTTTCTCCCTCAAGACTCCAAAATGGGATATTGCTTTTGGGATTTTTGCTTTTGTTTTTGGTTGCGTGATGCCCTCCAGCATGGTGGGACTCTGCCACCAAGAAGACCATCACTGGCTGTGGCTCTTTGACCTTGGACCTCCAGAATGATCAGCCAATATAAACCTCTTCTTTATAGCTTATGTCTTGGTTACTTTTCTCTCGTTGCTGAGACAAAATACCCAACGCCCAAAATGAAGGAAGGAAAGGTTTATTTGGCTCACAGTTTGTGGAGGTTTCAGTCCATACTTGGTTGGCTCCGAGGCAGAAGACAGCAAAACAACAAGAGCAAAGGGGGCAATGGCAGCTGAACAGCAACGCAGCCAGAGCAAAAGGGAGGAATGGCGGCAAGCAGCTTCTTTCTCTGCCTTACTTTGTAAACAGGCTACCCCCACCTAAGGGGCATGTAGCTCTCACATAATCTCCATGCCCTCCTCTTCCACGGGCTCAGGGTGTATACCAAGTAAGCACCCTGGCTTCCTGCTGAGTCACTTAGCCAAACCTCTAGACTCCCCAAGTTGACACAATGTATCAACCATAACAGCTTACCTGTTCTCTGGTATTAGAAACAGAAAATGGACTAGCTCTAGGCATGTGCTCTACATCTACAACCAGAGTTCCCAGTGCAGAACATTCCATCTCCCCACTGTGGGCATTCACTCCCTTCCCATCCTGTATCTCCACCCCATTTCCCTGCTGGTGTTCTCTGCACCTTCTGAATTCACTGCTTGCACTTGAAACCTTTTCTCAAAATATTCTTCTGGAAAAAGCCAAATTAAGACAAGTAATATTTTTTACTATTTGTTTTAGCATCATCAATCTTTGTAAACAAGCATTGGTGCAAGTGGAAGACAGGAAATGTCCAAGTTAAGAAGCCAGGCTTGGCTGGCTCCAGAGTATCTGAAGACGTCACACAAATCATTTATCATACTCTGCTTGATCTGACTACAGAAGTGTGTTTCAGCAAATACTTAAAGCATGGAGGGGCTATTGCTCAGTTCAAGCCCTGATCTGTAGTCTGCTGGCTGTTCTGAGATCAATGAGTACACACAATATTAAATTACAACCCCTCCTGCAGGTGTAGTTTGGAGGTGCTTTTCCTGGGCCAACTGATTAAGAAGACAGGGCTAGGTGAACTGGCAGAATCTGGTCATGGGCACAAAGATATGTTTGTTCCTAGCACAATCTTGGCTCTATTCAGGGAGGCAGGAACTAGATTACAAGTAATATGTTGATTATAATAGTAACACCAACAATAATAATAATGATCAGAAGTGGTACAGTAGTTCTTTGATCCTCCCCCAGAAACCTTTACCTGAGAGTTTCATCTTTGCTGTGTGCTTCTCTTCTGAAATCCCACACTGCTCTCTCTCATATCATAGCCCTTGACACATTAAGTTGTGATGAATATTTTGTTTATCTACCTCCCAAGCAGAGAGTGTAATGATTAATGATTCATTCACTGAAAGCATTAATTTTATCTTTCACTGCTGTATCCTTGGCATAGAACATGACATTTACAGGCATAAACACAAATAAATAGAAAACTGTCACATTTATAAGCAATAAGAAGAGACCCCCTAGACAAGAAGTGGCAAATATTTGGATATCAATACAGAAAAGTTTCTTTAAGTCTCATGATTAAAAACAAAATCTATAATCAATAAAAGTTAAAATTTTGTGAATGTCACATTTCATATTCAGAGAAATTACCATTCATGTGGAAAGACAAGGCCAATTTTAAATGTTAAGAGGCTTGAAAATATGCTTGTCAGAAACCTTGAAAAATGTTTTAACTTCTATGCCAAATAACAGTAAGATGAGGCAAAATATAAGCACATAAAACAATATGATATCATATACAGATTTATAATAAAAACAGATATGTTTAAATGTTATTGTAATCCTAGTTTATAAAACAGAATAAAGACAGCTTTGGAATTTTCTACACAGTGGTAAAATACTAATGTTTATGAGATCTAAATCAGGAATAAATGCTGTGATATTTAAAAGTAGTAAAAGATTCTGGATCTAATTAACAGATTAATAAAGGGGAAAATGGAATAATAAAAATACCTGATTGGCCAAAACTAAGGTAAGAAAAGGAAAGAGCAACAAGCTGAGGTAGGCTAATTAGAAAACTAATTGCAGATTTGAATATTTAAACTCAAACATATCATTAAATATTAATATGTAGATTCAACAACCTAATTAAAAGATAAAGATAAAATTAGATGAAAATCTATTTATTGCTTATGAGAAACATATTTAAGTATAAAGATACAGAGAGATTAAAAGGAACAAGAGAATAAAATATAATCATCCATACCATACATAAAAGACAGAGGATATGGGTATGTGATTATTGCATAAGTTAGACTTTAAGAATATTACAGTGATAAAGAGTATTCAGCCAGGCATGGTGGTGCACACCTCTAGTCCTAATACTCAGGAGGCTGAGGCAGAAGGAGTGCCATGAGTTCAAGGTCATGTGGGTTATAAAATAAGTTCAATGCCTGGCTGAACTACATAGCAAGACCATGCCTCAAAAAAGGAAGAGGAAAGAATGAAAGGAAGAAAGGAAGGAAGGAAAGAAGGAAGGAAGAAACAAACAAACAAACAAACAAACAAACAAAAAAAACAAAAAAAGAAAGAAGAAAGAGAAACGAAGAAAGAGAAATGAATATTTCATTATGATAAGAATGATAGGAGTCAATCTAATGGGGCTATAAAATAATTTTAAAGTTCTATATACCCAATAACACAGCTTCAAAATATCTAAAGCAAATATTGACCACACTAAAAGAAGAAATGACAAATCCATAATTATGTGGGAAATTTTAGCACAACACTGCATTCCACAGCTGCTAATATATATTCCTTTTTAAGCGTTCATGGAATATTTGTCAAAACTGACTATATTTAGGGATATAAAACAATTTTCAACAAAATTCAAAGTACAAATATCTTTAAAAAGTATGGTCCCTAAGTACAGAGAAATCAAGCCAAAAAAACAATAATATTCAGACATTTGGTTGTGAAGTGGAAGATGGAGAAACTGTGGGACCAAGTGGCTAAAGCAGACCATAGAAGAGTTATAAGGGAAAACAACAGCTTTTCACAAATAGAAGTCCAAGAGCTCTGCCCTACAGACTGGAACACTGTGAATCTGGAAGTAAGGGACATAGCAGAGGATGGAGCTGAAAGCACCAAAAGCAGACTTAATCAACTTACAATTTTGTAGTGGACTAGTCACCTTTGAGAAATACTAGATGTGCCTCCTCTGCATTATTGAAACTACTATCCGTAAGTTCTCTTTCCACCATAAAGCAAATCTTTGGTCTATTCAATATCTGTTTGCCAAATGGAAAACACCATAACATTGGAATCCTCCTAATTTTCCAAGCTTAT